CAATTAAACATCTTTGTGACGCCTCACTGGTGGTATCTTACCATGAAATAAAAATCCTCTTCAGCCTCTTCCTCTTAAACACAAATTCTCTCATCCACTGTAATAATTTTTTTGTGATTCTTCTTCTGTTTAAAGGTTTTCAAATTGTCTTTTATGGGTAACCGTATCAAAAATCTTTCCTAAAGTCTAGATAAATTCCATCTTTCCATCTAGTTCTTTTCTGGAGAATTTCCAAGACTGTCGTAATATAATAATGGATTTTTGCATACAATCATTTGCATGTGTGTCTAAAATATATTATTGTGTTTACCTGTTAGCTGGAACGTAACATAAATTCGGTAAAATGTGATCCTATGTTGATAACGTTTCGCCCACACGGTGGGCGTTATTAAGTCACACATTTCTATACATCTTTAGTAGGATCTCGTGTATTTGTGACCTTATAAGTCAGAACATCTCTTTGTGACTTGATTAAGCCCAGTGTGTGAGCGAAACATCGTCAATAAAGGTTTACATCATGCTCTATTTGTTTATACTATATCTCTCGAACATCTGTTATAGACGCTGGCCTCTAGTTTAATAGAAACTCTCTCTCTCTCTCTCTCTCTCTCTCTCTCTCTCTCTCTCTCTCTCTCTCTCTCTCTCTCTCTCTCTCTTTGTTTTTTAATGTTGGCAGCACTGTGTGCTCAATATTCCATCTACCACTTTACTTTCATGCCGCGAGTTCCTAAAAAAAAAAAAAAAACGGAAATAAGTAGCGTAATCTTATGCACATTATTTTATAACTCATTGTGATATCCTGTCTCCACTGTTCTTTCTTGTCAACAATCACAAGTAATATATTTAATTCATTACCATCCACATCAGTTATTTAAAATATATTCCTTTGTAAACTCACGCTGTAACTTTATGCTTAATTCTTGGTTCATTTTCTCATCATCATCATCAGTGATCTTTGTCTGTCCTTGATTCTTTGTCAACTATTTTCATTTTAAAGTTTTTTTTTTGGATGTTATTGTCTGGCATGTTTGGATCTACATATATTTTTGGATGATCCCGCTACCCATGTTGACTACAAGTATTTCCTTCTCTTTCGTAACTCTCCATCATCCTTCATTAAACCATTTCCCTATATTTCTTTCTTTTTTTAAATAACGTGATTTATTCCATTTATCTCCGTGATGATACGAAGAATGATAGTGCACATAATACTAGTTATTTGTCGGATTTCTGTATAATCTCAATTTAAATTCTTGGTTTCATTTAATGCTTAAATCATCTAAGAAAAGACAAAGATTTATTACGTTGAAACTCAACAGTAAATTTGATAAACTGTTGTGTTTCAACGAATTAAAGTTAATTACGGTCAAACTGAAAAAAAAGTCTTGAAATATGATTATAAGAAGATAAATATAACATTGTAACTGGACAAGAGACTAATACTGTTTATTCATGTGGGAGATTTTACCTAATCGATTTTAAAAAGGCCGAGAAGGTTGTACCAAACAAGTCCATAGTTGAAATATAATTGTAATATAATTGAATATAATTGTAATATAATTGTAATATAATGGAAATATAATTGTAATATAATTGAATGTAATTGTAATATAATTGTAATATAATGGAAATATAATTGTAATATAATTGAATATAATTGTAATATAATTGTAATATAATGGAAATATAATTGTAATATAATTGAATATAATTGTAATATAATTGTAATATAATGGAAATATAATTGTAATTTAATTGAAATATAATTGTAATATGATTGAATGTAATTGTAATATAACTGAAATATAATTGTAATATAATTGAAATAAAACTGTATAAATTAGAGTAATTTATAATGAATAGAATTTGTGAAGATTTTAAACTTTGCTTGACATCACTCTAAAATATTTTAACATGTGACTTGACTAAATTTTCACGATACATCCACGCTGAGTGAGTAGCGTCCTCTGTGAGGTTATATGTGAGGTCATATGTGAGGTCATATGTGAGGTCATATGTGAGGTCATATGTGAGGTCATATGTGAGGTCATATGTGAGGTCACATGTGAGGTCATACGTGAGGTCATATGTGAGGTCATATGTGAGGTCATATGTGAGGTCATATGTGAGGTCATATGTGAGGTCATACGTGAGGTCATATGTGAGGTCACATGTGAGGTCATATGTGAGGTCATATGTGAGGTCATATGTGAGGTCATATGTGAGGTCATATGTGAGGTCATATGTGAGGTCATAATTTAGCTTTATAAGTCTTCTGTCTTCCTTATATTTTTGCTATTCCTTTATAATGTGAGAAATCAAGAAAGAGCTTGGAATTTCAATATTTTTTTTCACGGGTAATTTTTCAGAACATATATCATGTATTTTCTAAAAACAATAATAATTGCAATAATAAAAAAAAGATTAAAATAACCTAGATTTAGGTATAATAACCCGCCAGGGTAATAATTATATGAGGCAGCAAAGCCAAGTAATAATTATATGAGGTAGTAAAGCCAGGGTAATAATTATATGAGGCAGAAAAGCCAAGTAATAATTAGCGGGAATATGAGGTAGTAAAGCCAGGGTAATAGAGTAACTTCTAACTGGCCGCCGCCACGCATATATACCTGGAGACTTTACGAGTGTCGTTGGAGTGATATATGCTGGAGGAGGCAACAGTAAAGGTATTTTGGTCGCTAACATTAGTGGGAAAAACGAGATAGAGAAAGAGAGAAGGAGAGAGACAGAGTTATAAAACTGGTTGCAAATCTTTTTTCGATTATTATCTGCGTGTGTCTGCCAAACTGCCAGAAGTAATTGTAACCAAACCTGAGCCTGGTACTACGTCAGTCAGTCTGTTCATGTTGCAACGTAGCTCCGTAAATGTGCTTACCTACGTTCATGTTATCATAGTAGGTTGTTGATCTACTCAGGATTCTTAAATCCGTTCCTATGGCATTCAGATTATTTAGCTACTCATGTTACTTCCAGTTATTGATATATAGATTAATGGTATGTTTGTATTATTTCTTCAGAGTTCTTTGGTTAATTTATCGCCTTTATCGTGTTTTAATAATTCACTGTGAAACTGTGTCAATAAGAATTACAAATTAATTCCTTTAATTTTTTTTCATATCAGTACCTGACTTTTACAAAGATCATGTTTATTCGAGTCAAGTGCAATCATCGAATACATACAATCACTTATCATGCATTATATGATTTTCGTCCTTTGGATTGCTGCAGAGCATCACTTGTCGTTTTTCCTAAGTGGTTAGACAGTTAATGTATCCGGAGGGATGTCAGGTCTGGGCTCCTTTGCTGTGTGGTCAGGTCATCCAGGGTTAGTTGTCAAGTCAGACAAATATTAAACAAAAAAAGCGGTATTAGGATATTTATTAAGAAGGCGTTTCGATAACCAGGGTCTTTATCATTCCAATACAGGAAAGCAAGTCAGATCCCTGTTGCCTTAGTCGTGGCAACAGCCTACCACAGTCGTGGCAACAGCCTACCACAGTCGTGGCAACAGCCTACCACAGTCGTGGCAACAGCCTACCACAGTCGTGGCAACAGCCTACCATAGTCATGGCAACAGCCTACTACAGTCGTGGCAACAGCCTACCACAGTCGTGGCAACAGCCTACCACAGTCGTGGCAACAGCCTACCACAGTCGTGGCAACAGCCTACCACAGTCGTGGCAACAGCCTACCACAGTCATGGCAACAGCCTACTACAGTCGTGGCAACAGCCTACCACAGTCGTGGCAACAGCCTACCACAGTCGTGGCAACAGCCTACCACAGTCGTGGCAACAGCCTACCACAGTCGTGGCAACAGCCTATCACAGTCGTGACAACAGCCTACCACAGTCATGGCAATCATAGCTGACCACAGACACATTCACTCCATCTCTCTGTTTTTGGTAAAGATGCATTTCCTAAAATACTGTTCATTTTTTTATATTTGACAATATTCAAGTACGATGTATCTCATGACACATTCATAAAATCGATTTCTGTTGGTGCTATCAAGCCATCCTCAGCTGAATTAATTAAGGATTTATGTCTACGGTTTCACATGTGTAGAAAAAGTCGGGGGTTGATCTTGCTGCCTGAACCCAAGAGCCATCCGTGGGAGGAGCTGGTGGGTGTTGGGTTGTGTTCCCCGGCTGGAGAGAGATGCTGAATGTGATTTATGAGAGACGGCCCCAAGCCAGGAATCTCCTGGGTAACTCTAGCCCAAATCATTCAGCATAACTGACTCACTTTTTCAGAGCTTTGCCCAGGCGTGAGTAGTGATATGTTTCATGTTACGTCTAAACTGCCTGGTGAGTGTTGGTACTGATGCAGGACTGGCTAAGTGAACCTAAGACTCATAGTGAGTGTTCCTACTGATGAACGACTGGCTAAGTGAACCCTCACACTTGGTAAGTGTTCGTATTGATGCAGCACTTACTATGAGGGCCTCAGATTTATGGTGGACGTTCCTAAGTAAGCTTCAACCTCGGGGATAAACACTTCACAGTCACTATCCTCTGCTGTCCTAATAATCTACTTTTAAAACTGAATTCATAGAATATCCATTTGATATTAAATAATTTTTTATGTCTATTTGTGTAACATTAGAGTCCCCGCCCACACAAAAAGGTGGCTCTTGTTATTGGTTACTTCTTTGGGTTTGGACGTCGCTGATTGGCTAAGACGCTGAGTGCCCCAGATGCCCGCCCCTCCCATTGGTCTGGCACTGTAGGTGCCAACACACTTACTAAACTCTCAAATATTATTCCTAGTAAACATTTCTTATTATAATAATGTTTAATTACAATTTTAATGATTGAAATTGATTTAACAAGTCTTAAGACATATTAATCACTGTATATAATAATATAAATATTGAAGCTGAAATGTTCATTGGGTTATTTTGGGCATCGTGGCATCAAGACGTCTTCAGGGGCAGAGTATGAGTGTCAACTGGCCCTCAGTGTTGCTTTTGACGGAGGTGACGGTGCCACTCAGTGCCTAGCTCCTCACACAGCCTGCGAGGCCATGTGACCCACACCGGCACTGTTGTTAGGCTGTTAAACCTCGCGAGTGGCGTCCACCTGACGACATCGTTTAATTACTGTAGGCAAATTGTGACCTCACTGAAAAGGGAAACAATGGTGGAGAGAGTGTGTACCAGATTAGTTAGGAGCTACGGGCGTGAGTTAGATAAATACTCCCTGGACCAGCATGTGGAGAACTAACGGCAATGCCACTAGTAGTGACAGTGCCCGCAGCCAGGATGATTTAGCAGGCAGTGCTAGGCAGTGATCCGTGTGACAAGTCTCGTCTCATCAATTGACGCCATGATAGAGACGTAAGAGACAACAGCCCCCGCTGCACACGAGTTTGCAGAGAAGTGTGCAGCTGCTGCCGGAGACGGTGCAGCTGCTGCTGGAGAGGGGTGCAGCTGCTGCTACCAGAGAGGGTGCAGCAGGTGATGCAGGCAGGGGCGTGGTGAGAGGCAGCTACGCCAGGCCACCAGAGTCCCAGCCTCCCACTATGATGCCTGAGCTCAGATCTTGCCGCTACGAGCCTCGCTATTCGGGCAGCCTGTCTCCCGAAGCTCGCCCACATTCCGTGTCTCCCAGTTACCCAAGCCATGCCCACAGGCACGCGCACATCCACTACTCACCCACGCACGAGGCGCGCCCATCCTCGGCAGACCTAGCAGAACCTTTCCTGACGGTGACCCAACAGCAGCTCGCTCACCACACCGACTCCAACTTCGATGTGAAATCCGAAGATGATTACCTTGACGAGGACGATGCCCATGTGCCGCACGTGCTGGCACCGCCAACGCACGTTGCAGGTCATGCCCACCCTCGCACGTGTTTGTTATGGGCGTGCAAGGCGTGCAAGAGAAAGAGCGTCACTGTTGACAGACGGAAAGCAGCCACAATGAGAGAGAGACGGAGACTACGGAAGGTAAGATGATGGAGGACACCCACCCGTAGGAGACCTCAAGGGACACTGGGACACCCACCCGTAGGAGACCACAGGGGACACTGGGACACCCACCCGTAGGAGACCTCAGGGGACACTGAGACACCCACCCGTAGGAGACCTCATGGGACATTGGGACACCCACCCGTAGGAGACCTCAGGGGACACTGGGACACCCACCCGTAGGAGACCTCAGGGGACACTGGGACACCCACCCGTAGGAGACCTCAGGGGACACTGGGACACCCATCCGTAGGAGATCTCAGAGGATACTGGGACACCCACCCGTTGACCTCAGGAGACACTGGGACACCCAACCGTAAGAGACCTCAGGGGACACTGGGACACCCACCCGTAGGAGACCTCAGGGGACACTGGGACACCCACTCGTAGGAGCGTCCAAGAAGACGGTGGGGGAAGCGTCAAGAAGATGGAGGGGAGCGTCCAAGAAGGGCCCTTAGGACGGGTTAATAAAGGAAAATTAAACTGTGGTATGTGCTCGCCTATATGTGCTCACATATTGTATAAGTGGCTGCAAGAGCCGAGTCTCAGCTCTTGGCCCTGCCTCTGAACTTGCCGCTAGCAAGACTCACCCTCTCCTAGACTTTTATGACTACGAGGAGACTCAGTAGTCACTGGAGACTCAGTAGTTACTGGAGACTCAGTAGTCACTGAAGACTCAGTTGTCACTGGAGACTCAGTGGCCACTGGAGACTCAGTGGTCACTGGGGACTCAGTGGTCACTGGAGACTCAGTGGTCACTGGAGACTCAGTGGTCACTGGGGACTCAGTGGTCACTGGAGACTCAGTGGCCACTGGAGACTCAGTGGTCACTGGAGACTCAGTGGCCACTGGAGACTCAGTGGTCACTGGGGACTCAGTGGTCACTGGAGGCTCAGTGGTCACTGGAGACTCAGTGGTCACTGGAGACTCAGTAGTCACTGGAGACTCAGTAGTCACTGAAGACTCAGTGGCCACTGAAGACTCAGTGGTCACTGGAGACTCAGTGGTCACTGGGGACTCAGTAGTCACTGGAGACTCAGTAGTCACTGAAGACTCAGTGGTCACTGGAGACTCAGTGGTCACTGAAGACTCAGTGGTCACTGGAGACTCAGTGGTCACTGGAGACTCAGTGGTCACTGGAGACTCAGTGGTCACTGGGGACTCAGTGGTCACTGGAGACTCAGTGGTCACTGGAGACTCAGTCGTCACTGGAGACTCAGTAAAGGGTGGCAAAACACAGGTTAATCACTTTTAAACACAGGTTAATCACTGATAAAACACAGGTTAATCACTTTTAAACACAGGTTAATCATTGGTAAAACACAGGTTAATCACCAGTAAGCACAGGTTAATCATTGGTAAAACACAGATTAATCACCGGTAAAACACAGGCTAATCATTGGTAAAACACAGGTCAATCACAGGTAAAACACATGTTAATCACCGGTAAAACACAGGTTAATCACAGGTAAAACACATGTTAATCACCGATAAAACACAGGTTAATCACCGGTAAAACACAGGTTAATCACCGGTAAATCACCGGTGAATCACTGGCAAAACGCAGGTTAATCACCGATAAAAACACAGGTTAATCACCGGTAAAGCACAGGTTAATCACCGGTAAAACACAGGTTAATCATTGGTAAAATACTGTTTAATCACCGGTAAAACACAGGTTAATCAATGGTAAAACACTGTTTAATCACGGTAAAACACAGGTTAATCACCGGTAAAACACAGGTTAATCACCGGTAAAACACAGGTTAATCATTGGTAAAACACAGGTTAATCACCGGTAAAACACAGGTTAATCACCGGTAAAACACAGGTTAATCACCGGTAAAACACAGGTTAATCACCGGTAAAACATAGGTTAATCATTGGTAAAACACAGGTTAATCACCGGTAAAACATAGGTTAATCATTGGTAAAACACAGGTTAATCACCGGTAAAACGCAGGTTAATCACCGGTAAAACACAGGTTAATCACAGGTAAAACACAGGTTAATCACCGGTAAAACACAGGTTAATCACCGGTAAAACACAGGTTAATCACCGGTAAAACACAGGTTAATCACCGGTAAAACACAGGTTAATCACCGGTAAAACACAGGTTAATCACCGGTAAAACACAGGTTAATCACCGGTAAAACACAGGTTAATCACCGGTAAAAACACAGGTTAATCACCGGCAAAACACAGGTTAATCACCGGTAAAACACAGGTTAATCACCGGTAAAAACACAGGATAATCACTGGTAAATATCTCTTGATTGTTATATTTGAGTTCACGGGGAAGCTCTAAACTCGCAGAGTTCTCACAGTTCCTGGAGAATAGAACTCGATCAGATTTGATATGAGGACGGGGAGGGTCGTTCACATGTTTTTATTAACCTTAAAGACAACTGCAGGTTATTAGCGTCATTCCTAGCAAGGAATGGAGGAGAGGGAGGGCTCGAACCTCTGTCCGCTAATAGAGACTAA